GGGCACATTGTCAAATTATAAGATTACCAGGCGAGTAGCGGAAGTCACGACGACACATCTATCATACTCGTAAGTGTATTTCTTCTGGCAAATGCAATCATTTGCACACCAGTTCAATTTCCACTGCAGTCTTGCCTGAATCCCAGCTGAAACACTTTCATGGTGTTATTTTCGGCTGTCTGTGCTTCATCTGGCTGGCTCAGGTTTCATTCAATACGGACTTCAAGATATCGCTATACATTGTGTAAAATTAGCACGTATGTATGAATTGCTGAAAGCTCTTCTACCAATAAGGAACATTTTTGCCTTGTTAGGACACAATAGTTGGGCACAGATCCCCGGGTTTCCGTCAACCTGTTGTTCTGCTCGAACCCAGGTTGCAGAAAATTCGACCAATATTCTTATTTTTTCAATCAATTCGATCGATGGTTTTGCTTAAATAGCAAAAGAGAACCGACTGTGGGCTGTTGAAGGGTCTTTATCAACTAGTGTCAATTATCAGTTAGTGTGTTACGTCTATACAATGTTCCTCCTGTCCTTAAAGTCCTATGAAATGCATGGAAATGGCACTTCTGTTGAGGACAGTGACTGCGCAAGGGACAACTATAAACCAGATTGAAGAAGTCAAAATCCAACAAGGAAATACCGTGTGTGGAAGATTTGTGCTCACTAGAGGTTAATTAACTATCTAGGGGGAACGCTTGTATAAGCTTGGAGGCCGTAGAAGAGCTGAGTTTTAAAGACGAATATGTAATCATGAAGACGCAAACGGCGGAGGAGTTGAAGATTGGAGGAATACAAATCCCATAATTTTGTACGCGTATGGGCAAGTTGATACCTACTTATGATTGGCTTGTAAATCAGGTCTAGAAGACGTGGGAAGAAAAATTGTTTCGGTATGACCGTAATAACTCACTAGTTGTGACAAAGAATCCACCAGTGGTTTTAGATGCACAAACATAGAAGGGAAGAAGTAAGAAGCATGAAGGAAAATTTAGCCACCGTGTTAGAAAATGCCTAGTGAGCAAAATGTTCTGATAGGTGGGTGGTAAGTTGGGTGTGTAGTTAGCAGCGAAACTCAACACCATATCGGAATACAGAAAGCAGGCTGACCATCCTGTTCTGACTGTGTAAACGAGCTCAACCAACCCAGGTTTTATTGCGTTTTTTAAACGTATATCAATCTTTCTGAGAAATAAATTTGTATTCAAACATTTCATGTACTTTGGCACCAATAAACTGGTCGTCTGACTCTCATACATCGGCGCTATCCCAATCGCATACCTGTTCAATGCAGCTATGCTCCTGCAGAACTGCGAACTGACTGATAATCTCAAACGGATAGGTGCCGTGGTGACTACTGCATTCTATCTAGTTAAACTACCAGGCTTCCGACACTTAAGCCAATGGTTACACCGCAAAGAGAAATGACGTTTCTAAAGAATTCGACTGCAATTGCGCAGAATGACTGAAGCTATTTATGTTGGAATGCTAAGGACTAACTTCCATAAAACTTTTCTGCCCGCTTGGCCTAAGAAAAAGGTGCTTTATTGGATGGGTTTCATAGCGACAGGTTATAGACAACATTTTGAAGTAAGATTTTGTACGGGTTTCCCTAAGTAATAATTTCCTTGACTGCTGTCAAGCCCTTCTTAATGGTGAGCTTAGTCACAGGTGTCAGCTGATGAAGTCACTCGAAAGTTGCCTTGAGAAACCACAAGACTGAGTTTAGCTCGTCCTGATCAGGTAAGAACTCAACTGTTGAAAGGTAAGCCTAGTGTAAAACGTGTCTGACAAAGCCTCCTATATATATATATA